AACTTTTACTGACAGTGAGAATAACGAGTGACGATTGGAAGCCGATGAATGCGTTTCGTGTGTGCAGCGTGACTATTGCAAGCTTTGTTCTTGTTTCCTCTTACCTTTCATTTTTGCCGCGTCGGGCTTTGGGGGATGATTTTCAAAACAGCGTGTATATTACTGAGTATACTTACTGAGCGTGAGTGTGTGTATTTTACGCTTGTTTCATCATGAACCTTTACCAACAAGCCCAACTGGCAGTCATCCTAAGTGTATATTACTAGCAACACAGTCACAGATTACACTATTACAAGTTATGTGCGTGCTTTTGAATTCGTGTTTGTGTGAGTACATGTTGCACTTTCATACAATCGAACGGTGATCGAACTGGTAATGCCAAGTGGTTTCATTGCGTTTGAACCATGCTGATAAATGTGGTGGTCTTCACAGGGTGTGCTGAAAATAGTGCTTTCGCTGTTGGGGACATCTTCCTTTGTTTAGTTTTATCCACTAAGGTGTGATTATGAAATTGCAGCGTCTATAATGAACTGCAAGAATTCACTTCGAGGTGTGTTTTTTTTTCTACAAGTCTACAATAGATTTGGTGTTCATGTTCACATTGCTCTCTATTGTACGTTTTGACTGCGTGTATCGGCCCGTGATAAATCACATGCTACTTAACTGTCCCATGTCGTATACAACTCATCACTAATACGTATATATACACTGACTCGAAATTATGCTCCAATATACACCGATTTCTTTCGCATTTCATGCGTAGAGATATATGCAAATATGTTCAGACATGTGCGGTAACAATTATTTAATTGTAGTCAAAAGAGTCGAAATTTTTCTTATTGAATGCTGTTTTTTTCATTAGATTCCACGGCGACGGAACATGCAGCGCACTCAATGTACAGACCTTTCCCGTAGTGTTTCGCGCAACCACGTAGGGCTCTGGGATCGCTTTAAAATGACATATTTTGTCAATAAGACCACACGATCGCCTGCCTAATGCTGCACAAAACCTAATTTGTATATGCATAGTTATATCTAAGCTGACGTAAAACGGGTTCGAATGTTCTTGGCACACGCGCACCTGGTAGCTGATAGCGGAGTTAGCAGGTATAAAATCAGAACTTGCCTGATCCATCCGCAACTTGGAAAGGGGCAAAAATGTCATGCTCCGATATATTCCATTTCAGTTTATTACCACTCCATATCTAGTCTAACCGTCCTATCTTCGGTCGCTGATGAGTTTAACGCCCCCAAACCAACATTTGATTATGAGAGAAGCCGTTGTGGAGGGCTCCAGAAATTTCGACCACCTGGGGTTCTTTAGTGTACACTCAAATCTGAACCCATGGGCACACAGCATTTTCGTCTCTGTCGAAAATGCAGCCGCCGCAGTCGACAGTCGATCCCGCGACCTGCGGGTCAACAGCCGAGTATCTTAGCCACTAAACCCGTGGCAGGGAATGAAATAGTTCGAAATAGTAAGACTAGTTATTTTTACTTAAAAATTGTAATTTCACTGAGTTGTTTGCATGCGTCTATGCTAAAAATCATTTTCAAACCAAGCTGTCTTGGCAAATCTTGTGCCGCCATTGGCGTTCACTAGTCACGTGACCTGAGAACCGAGAGGGAGGCTCGACGTAAAGAGTGAAACTGCTCTATCTCTCCGAAATAGACGAGACAGAGGCTCGCTCGTGTGGCTGACAGGTGTGAAGGGTTGTGATTGTCCCGATCTGATCAGATGAGATCATAGCCAGGGCCGATGAGCGTACGAGAAGAGACGCTTATCACAAGTCAGCTAGGGGATATATAAGATACTAAGTGAAAACCTTGCTGAAACCTAGCAAGACAATGCGATGTATGAGGAAGTAGGTGACAGCTTTACTCTCCGGCAAGTTTTACGACTAGGAACCGGTTGAATATTTCTCTTAGCATTTATATCTCAGGTTGATACAAAGAACTTGTTGCAATGCAAAACTTGGCTCTTGATATTTGGGTGGCCACCCCCTTTGGAATGTTGCTCCGTAGGTTATTTATCATTGTAGCTTTGCAAGGGCAATTAAAGTTAGGGGTGCTTTTCTTCTTAATAACTATAGTAACGCCGAAGTACCCACAACAGAAATGTCAATACTATTCGCGTTATACTGACCAGCGGCGCTACAATGGTCCAGTGTTGCCGCTATATTCTGAATAAAAATCACATCACTGAATATGTGCAACTGAGCAGATGCACCACTGCGTTATGTCTGAATAATTGGCTTGTTCTGTCCACTGATTATACCTACTGTATATTCAGTTGGCAAACGTGCGCAAGCAGTCAAGGTCAATAAGGCAGAATAGATACGTGCCACATTGTAAGTGCTTGAGTGGGCATTCAGAAAAAGCATTGGAAATCTACATCGGGTACACCGAAGCAAAGTGCTTGATGTCATGAAAAAATGGCAAGCGAGGTAATAGAAAAAAAAAACAAAATTCTGCGAATAGCGTATTCAGTATAAAGTGTTGAGCCAGGTTTGAGTGAAATGATGAATTGTAGTGATGTTCAGAAGAGATTGAAAAAAAAAAACATTATAGCTATTGTAAACTAAGTGTGAGATCTCTCAATAAAATCTCCTTATTCTGGCCATAAAGTAAAAAAAAAGAAAAAAGCAGCGACCGCATTCCGCCTTTTATTTTTTTCATATAGACGCACCAACAGGGTCAATCATTTCACGTGTCTTAAAGGAGAAAGTAGCCTGAGAATTCCAGGCTACAAACAAACAAACAATTGGCTTTGATATACTGTGTGGTCAGAATTTCAAAAAGGAATTATTGCACTCTTTTTGTTTTCACGTACGTCCTTTCCTCCTTTTCTAAGGTTATTTATTACTTGAAAGACCAAAAATTCATATAACCAATTCTTGGCCAAACCCCTGAGTGTGTGCGAGTCATACATGAGTGATCATCATCATCTTCATCATCATCATCATCATCATCATCATCATCACCACCACCACCATCATCATCATCATCATCATCGTTTCATTGCGGCGAATCCGCGTGGGCAAGCAATCTGCAGCATCGCAAAACACAGAAATGTAGGCTCACAACTATGTACTGGCAGGAAGAGGTAAATCTACTCAAATAACATGTAAAGGCGTTCTTAAAAGCACTTTTCTTGCTGTAGTAAGTGTTTACAGGGGGAAAAAAGTTCTTTCGTGTCTTGATGGCCACAGTAGAGCCATTGGCGTATCCTGGAGAAGGAAGCTAACCAGATCTGGGTTGTCAAAAATATATTTTCGGCACACGACAGCGCAGCCGCTTATTGGATACTTTCAGTTCACGCGTTTCACAAAAATATCTCCGCTGCGGATACAATGGGACCCGATTTTCGGTGGAGTTCGTCAGTGCAGTGTCTGCAGATACTTGCATAATAGCACGCTGGTGAAACCGAGCAGACGTGATGTAAGTGGGTGAAAGACGATGCTATTAAATCGGCCCCGACTTCACCCAGAAATTGGCAGTTTTGTTCAGAAACACTTGTTTACGTCGGGGTGCCCAAAGAAATCGAACTCTTTTTAAATGTGCCGTTACTAGTGCATGGAACCGTCTCATGACGTTTGAGGTACCACCAGCACAAAAAACAGAATATAAATAAAGTGAGTCTGTGATTAGAACAGCAAATGTAATTGATGTCTTTAGGTTGCCTAAGCTGAACATTGCTGTCGTCATTTTTAGCCACAGAACAGATATGAAATTGGGTAGTCGAAGGGAATAAGACTAGTTGAAATTCGGGATAAAAATGCCAACACATTACTTTTGGTCTCACTGTAATGCATCTCAGGTATTAGCACTCTTTGTTGAGATACTCTGCATGTACTCTTGTATTAAACCATATATGTATTGAGGTGAGTCAGGAGTACAGCGCAGATACGTACGTTTAAAGCAGTTGCTACCAGCATAAAATTATGGTTTCATTGATTTATTTTTGTATTTTTATTATTTGTTACTAGTATTTGTACTAAAACCTCTGTTTCGGACATTTTATTATGCCTAAAGTTTTCAGCATACAATTATTTTTAGTTTTGTATAAATTCATAAAACCACTCAAATGTGAACCAAGCCCCCCCCCCCCCCCCCCGAACCCAGTGTGGGTTAGCCACAAATTAAAAGTAAAAAAGAACAAAAAAAACGAGAACCCATTCATCACGCGTATCTTTGCGCGTGATTCTGTCCTTTGGAGCCTCTATTTCTGTGTTCTCAAGTTCGAAAGTTTGCATGACTGTGCGTGCGGAATTCTCTTAAGAAAACCAAAAGACTAACAAATTAATTGATATTACCCTTCTGTGTCGACACATGCATAGGTTTTATCCTTTTATTTGTGTTTTAATTAGGGTGTTTAGTTATTTTATTATCCATTAGTAATGAAAAAGTCATTATATTATAAACTTGAGGGAGCATCAAAATTTCAATACAAAGATTTCAAGGCTTTACTTCTATAACCACTGTTACCCTAGAATTTCATAAGATTTTTTTAAACCACAAAATACTTGGCCAATTCTTCCCCACCACGGTGGTCTAGTGGCTAAGGTACTGGGCTGCTGACCCGCAGGGCGCGGGTTCGAATCCCGGCTGCGGCGGCTGCATTTTCGATAGAGGCGAAAATGCTGCAGGATCGTGTGCTCAGATTTGGGGGCATGTTAAAGAACCCCAGGTGGTCAAAACTTCTGGAGACCTCCACTACGGCGTCTCTCATAAATATATGGTGGTTTTAAGACGTTACACCTTACAAATAAATCAATCAATCTTGGCCAATTCTCCTCAGTGGGTATGAGCCACAAGAGAAGGTCAACAAAATCAGAACCAAGATCAGCGGCTAACCATCATACGTGTCTCACATCAGCGCGAGGTCCCGCAGTCGGTTAATTATAATTATTCTTATACTCGTGTCCTGCCAATGAACGACGAATAAGCGACGAAGGGTAGCGCTTCAAGACGTGGTTGTTGTGTGTTAAGCATCCACGATGCGCGCTTCCCGCTGGGACCCGAAAGCGATTGAGGACAAGACGCCGTCGGCCGCTAGCCTGTATAGGTTCGTGCGGGACATCAAGGACATCGAGCACAAACCCCTGCCTCGGATATACGTCTCCCCCGAGGAGGACTTGAGCAAGCTGCACGCTGTCGTGGTCGGGCCGCCGGGTACACCCTACGAGGACGGCTTCTTCCACTTCTTCGTGAAGTGCTCACCAAGTTACCCGATAAAGCCGCCTCTCGTGCGCCTGCTAACCAAGGACGCTGGGCGCGTGCGATTCAACCCGAATCTCTACGCTTGCGGAAAAGTAAGCCTCTTAACATCAGCTTGTCTGCGGAAAGTGAATACGGGCTCACCGGGAAACAGAATTCTCATAGTTAATTGTGTATTTTTTTTTCTCTCACTGGAAATGACTTCGTAGATTGTTGCCCCATCGCGGTGGTCTAGTGGCTAAGGTACTCGGGTGCTGACCCGTAGGTAGCAGGATCGATTTCGGATCGATTTCCAGTTGTGGCGTTTCCGCTGCATTTCCAATGGAGGCGGAAATGCTGTAGGCTCGTGTGCTTAGATTTGGTGCACGTTACAGAACCCCAGGTGGTCAAAATTTCCGGAGCCCTCGACCACAGCGCCTGTCATAATCTTATGATGGTTTTGGGACGTTAAGACTTACGTATCATCAACTTCGTAGATCGTTCGCGCATTCCACTTCCACCTAAAGCGCTCATGTGGTGGCAGAGAATCTAGTTTGGATCTTCGAGTCTGGTGGAATGGAGTAATACACGTCCTTTACAGCTGAACTTTTGTTTTATAGGGGTATCACTGGCAGCTTTTCTTGTTATTTGTGTGTGTCTCTGGCTCGCAGGTGTGCCTCAGCATTCTAGGTACAGAGATAGGGCTAGCATGGAGCCCGGTCCAGACAATAAGCAACCTGCTGCTCTCCATACAGTCGCTACTCGTAAAGGAACCGTTCCTCAACGAGCCCCTACTCGCAGAAGCATTCTTGAATGACTCCCACGACTATAAGCGAAAATTGGAACACGAGACCATCAAGGTCACCGTCAGCAATGCGGTAGAAGCCTGCATGCAGGAAAATCCCCCGTGCCCGCTGGACTTGGTGGCAGTCATCATAAGCGAGTTCACCGAACACTACGACAAGTACGTGCGTAAAGTAAAAAGTCTGCTTCATCTTACAGGCACCGTAATGGAGAAGACCTTTTTGGGTCCCAATTTAGAGGACACTACCTTTCAGTACAAGGCTCTGCTGACGCGACTCATGAAATTGAACGAGGGGTTGAATAGCACAAACTAAACTTGAGCAAATATGTTCCTGAGTGCTCACTGAACGCTGGCTGCTATTACGCCCTGTGAAAAATTGCTCTCGAGAAGACCTTGCGCCAAAGACATCAGCACCTGGGCCGCCTTGCAGAGACTTGCCAGGAGAACAGAACCAATTCAGCACAAACTCAAGAACTAGGTTCAGCTAAGTGACAGACTGACTTTCACGGGAGCCCTCGTATAAATTAAAATCTCTGATCATAGCCGCGCACATCACAAATTATGTAGTTGCAGCAGCTCTTCTTCTTCGTGGATAAGAGAGCGTCATAATTTACTTAGATGCAGTTCTCAATGAGAAGTTGTTCTTTTTGCACTCCTTCATAACACGGTGCGTCTTATGGGCGTTTGAATGGCGAATACAGATCGATCTTGTTTGACAGGAACCAATTAGCTGTGCGATTGGGGGCTTCCACTCGTGAAGATACCTGGCCCAGCTGCTCTGAATAACATGAATTTGCATGCCTTCGAACATGAACAAGCGCCTCGATATCTTATCGTTTTTTCAGGCACACCGTGTCTGTAAGCGACTAAAATTACGTCGATGTTGATATGAACGGTAAAGATACAATGTCAACTGCAAAATGGCGTTGTTGTAACGACTTTGGAATATTTCAAGTGTAAGATATAATAAGTGTTTGGGTTTACCGTCCCCAAAACGTGTGTCATAATCATGTGGATTTGCCACATAATTATGAGAGACACTGTAATGAAGGGCTCAAAAAAGTTCGACCATGCGGTGTTCCTGAAGGTGCCCCTAAATCGAAGTACACGGGCCTCCAGCACCTTCACCTTCATTGAAAATGCAGCTGCCGTACCCGGAATTCGATCTCACGACCTGCGGGTCAGCAACCGAGTGCCTTAACCACTGGTCCACCGTGGCGGTTTTCGACCGTATATATAGCAGAATAAATGAAGCCCATCCAAGTTATGAAGAAAATGCACACCACGGCCCGGTGTGTTCCCTCTTTAGTTCTTAAATGCCTAAGTGTTTTTGTATGCATACTGTTAGCACATCGCTAGAACCCTCTTTGAGAACTAAATACACAGGCTTCAAGGATTTCGCCTCAATTAAAATGCGAGCGCCGTGGCGTGTGTTATTGTGACTCTAAATGGACGTCGCTAAAAGTACCAAGCTAAAAGTATACAGCTTGACACTTCGAGCAACTTTTTTTTATATATCGAGAGTCCACATAAAACCATGCTATAGGTAGTAAATATCAAGGATCATGGATTCTGCCTAATTAATTCGTAATATAATCAATCGTGGCTATGAAGTGCACGAAACACGTTCGTAAATTTATAAAATAAGTGAATGTTTTAACGGGTGGCCAAGGCCCAGGCCACTAATTTGCCGGAGATTTCATAAAGTGGTTACCACCACCTGTTTCAACTTTATTTACTTTCCCTTGAAGCAAAGCAGCAAATTGCACGCGCATGGGGCTAATCTCTTTGTCTTGCCTTCATTTTCGTGCGACAAAGAAGTGTAAATGTAAGGGTTTGTTTTCTCTGATAGACGCAATGTTAATGAAAACTAACAGAAAATGATACCAAGGAAAATATAGGAGATAGTGTTATGACTAACTGTGATGTATATGTGAAGAAAGAAAAGTGGGCAAAAAGATAGCATGCCGCCAGCAGGCACCTAACTTGCGACCTTCAAATAACGCTTCCGATGCCCCACCATTGAGCTACCACAGCAGTCCTGCCTCCGTCCACTGTTTAGGGTATATATGTGCATTTAAACTCGGGAGCGTCAGTCAGCGCTGCCAGTGGCCACTATGGTACGAACTGACGCTAGCAAAACAAGAAAAAAAAACACAAAATGCTGCTTCTATGTTGGCACGAAAAATGGCATCGGTCGTTTTGGAATGCCAACAAAACACAATTGGCCCTAAACTTAAATTAGGGTTTTCATGATTGATCTTAGTTAAACGAATAATATACATTATATAAAAGTACCCTAACGTGCGCCACACGGTGGTGACCATCGCCATTGGTTTCAATAAATGACGGTCAACCACTTTTTATTATTATTATTTATAAGGGGTTATACAGGTATTTCAACAGAACCAGCCTGGTAGCGTTCATCGTGCAGCGTCACCGTCACGTTGCTCAGGTGCAAACGTCGTTGCGTGTAGCACCAGCGTGTAGTGTAGGTCCAGCACAAAAGCCATTACTCCATGCACTATCGTTAATTTAATAGATGCCCACATTTTTGTCAATATGCACGCCTCTGCAGGCACCACGCAGTCAGCTTCATTTTCTCCGCGCTACAGGCAACGTGCAATGGATGTGGCTTTTGAATAGTGTGGGCCAGTCGTACTCATCACCATTCAAGAGAAATATGCGGCTGTATACTACACGTAGGCAGCAGAAAGGAGCCCAAAGGTTTCATAGGCACTTTGCCGAGAAGAATACAAAAAAACACATTTCAGAACAACCACGGGGAGCGTTGTCTCCCATGCTGTTCACGAGACGACAGCCGAGAAACACGGCTGGTACGTCATTTTGGCAGCATCTGACACAACATCAATCCACCTGCGAAGCTCCCTCGATGACTCTAAACACTGCCCAGTTCTCTAAACTACTGTACTTTCTGAATGTGTCACCATTCTTTCCATTATCTGCCAGGCGCCGAACGTTTCCTTGCTATTCGACTTCGAAATGTCCCTCCAGACCTTCCTTTTATTCCTGTCTTCGGCTGAACAGAATGCAAGGGGACTCGGAGTAGAAGGGGGCAATGTCGTGTGCGAACGCAATTTCCGGAGGGCGCCATCGGTTCCTAATCAGATCAGACTTGAGCTCCTAGCCAAACTTCCTTCATTTCACAAGGGGAAGCTCGGTGATGGAGAAGCTGCGGCAGAAGCAAACACCGCATCAGCTACAGCAATGGAGAGATGCGTGTCGGCCGCCGGCTCGAAACGAACAGTGCAGTGACTGGAACCCTTGGCAGCGACAGGAGGAAGCGAACGGCGCAAATAAATAGCGCTTTTTATAGCGCGTGATTATTCGTGCGAACTCCACGCTTCACTCGGTGTCTAACATGATTGTGTTTTTATGCGTGTTACATCAGATGAAGTGTCTGTCGTTTTTATTGTAGTTTCTCCGTAACGCGATAGATACGCCTTGAAACAATCAATGGTTATTGGTCCTAAATGAAGTGCTACAAGAAGTGTAACGCAACCTATAGAAAGCGAAAGTCTTCAGCAAAAGGTCGTTAAAGTACGTGCGTGGCTTTAGGGGTATGTCGCGTTTAGACTCACACAGCGGGAAACGCAGTGGCCGTAAATGTGCCAGCTTGTTGACTAATATGGATTGTTGTGGAAATATGATTAAGAAAAAAGTCACAGCGTTGCCGTAAAAGAGAAGCAATGAATGCGACAGCAACAAATTGGAATGTCAAGCGAAGAATGTCACTCACAAGCAAGAGGTTGGACGTTAGATTCTGCGTGCCTGAGTTTTTTTCTACATAATTTTCTATTACGTTCTCATATATATACATACGTATACCCGTACGGTGAATGACGGCGGTCGCCGACGCCGGCGGCAAAATCCAGCCGAGAGTGTCTATATAATTTCTATCGCAATTAAAAATTACAACTGAAGCACTCCGTGGAGATGGTTAACCAGCAAAGCTGAAACTTGCGGCCACAGGTGGTTGCAGACGTTACAGCTAAAGCCACTCAAAAAACTTCCGCTGCAAGCGGGCGTCGGGGTGAAGGCATTTACGTCATTGGTTCGTTGACGCCGTTTTGCTCGTCTCCGCCCTGTCCGCCCTGTCCGCGCATGCGCACACAGGCATGCAGGGGCCAAAATATTTATTTCTTTCTATAAGTATCTCTCGTCTCTTCTGCGTTCTTTTCTATCCCCCTTCCCATCTATGTGAAGTGCTGTTCAAGTGACCTTTACGAATAAACCACGATGCACTTTTTTTTCTTTTTCTTCATTTTCCTATTTTTCAAAGCCCCTCTGTTGAGAACGCGTGCTCGGCGGCACGGCGGCGCAGAGGTGAACGACGTCGCTGGCTGTGCTCCTAATGGCACGCGCACTTGGATGTGACGTGGAGAACGGAGCAGCCAATGGAGACGTTCAGCGTTACTCGTGGCGAATGAGTTTTCGATTCGGCAAGCCATATACAGCTTTCGCTGTGAAACAAATTTGCGACGTTCGAACTAACGAGGCCCCTTAAGCTGTTTTATTACAACGTCTATCACGTGTACACCACCTTCTGCTCTATAGAACAAATAATCGATGAAGAAACGTGTAGTCGTCTTCAGATGTTTCCAGTCTGGGGGGCGTGCATACTTGACCCTATCTGAATAGCTTCCGGATCAGGTCATGGAAGCCAACTGGCACAAAAGTGCCATTCTGAGGTCACAGAAGGAAATAATGTACTACTAAACTTTGTTGGCAGTCTATCCTGAGCGCATCTGTCACAAAGGACAGAGTGACGTATATACATATGAACACCGCCAATTTCGTATAAAAAGTTTATGTTAGAGCTCGGCAGCATGACTTTTTAAGCGTAAACAACATGACTGGTAGGTTTGTTTAGAGCTCTCTAACATGATACTGTTGAACAAGGACGCGAGCGTGTGTCTTTTTGGGGTACATCTATTCATCCGTGCTATTTTTGCCAGACACCAACTGCGAAATTTGAAAGAGACGCTAAGCGCAGCAAGGCGAGGCCCGAGTGGATTACCTAAATTAAAATTCGCTATGTGGAAAAGAGTGATAAAGTGTTTTATCTAAGCTCTTCGGTCTCGTTCTGGGTTTTTTATCAATGCTTGTTTTCGCTTACTATCATGTGAGGTAATTGT